ATGTTCTACCTTGCCCTTGGTTACATGGCCTTCCTGGCTCTGATCTGCTTCACAGTGGCTTTCCTGGCCAGGAATCTACCTGGGGCCTTCAATGAAGCCAAACTCATCACCTTCAGCATGCTCGTCTTCTGCAGTGTCTGGATAACATTTGTACCCACCTACCTGAGCACCAAAGGGAAGTACATGGTGGCTGTGCAGGTTTTTTCCATCTTGGCCTCCAGTGCTGGACTTCTGGGCTGCATCTTCATGCCCAAGTGTTTCATTATTTTTTTAAGACCAGACTTGAATACAAAGCAATATTTATTTTCTAAATAAGATATGAATTGACTTGCCACGTCTTTCCCAAAAATGCCAGTTAATTTCTTCCGAAATATTATTGGCAGCCTAATGTTTCTAAAAAAGCACAATCTGTGAATTCAATGCCAAGTAACTCAATCTCTTTCTTTCATGGATGCAAACCATCTCTTTCGTAGTTTTTCATTGGACCAGCTGCAGACATCATGCCTAATAAAACCAAAGCCTTCTCTTTTACACCACTCCTTTAGCCACACATTAAACTCCGCTACACGCTGGCCTTTTTCTTTTTGTTCCTTATATACTGGTATTGGAGCTAGCTTCTGACAAATCATTTGCTCTGTGAATATTTAATTCCAATTCATCACATTTCCGGAAATTCATGATCTATGTGAAACTGTTGGGAGGCTTCTCTTCAGGTCTGGACATTCTCTTAATGAAGAAATTGTCAGGTTTTATTTTTATTTTTAATGTTTATATTATTTGTATGGCAGTTTTATTTTCTTGGTATTGTTTATGTTTTAACTATAAGCCACAATTGTTATGTGGATGGCTATATAACTTTTATAAATAAATAGCTTTCCTGGACTGCGAATGTGCAGTACGCATTAATGAAGACAGAAGCCTTAACATTGAAGTTTACAGAAAACCTCCACACACAGATCTATATTTACATTTTGATTCTCACCACCCACTGGAGCGAAAAATGGGAGTCATCAGAACCCTACACCACCGAGCTGAAGGCCTGCCTACCAGCAAAGATGGGAAACTAAAAGAATGAAAACACATCAAGGAATTGCTCAGAACATGTGGCTATCCCAAGTGGATCTTCATCAAATCTCAAAAAAGATCCTACAGGAGCTCCTCCATAACAGACAATGAAGAGAACAATGAATGAAACAACATTGTCATTCCATACATTGCACGAATGTTGGAAAAGCTCAGGAGGATCTTCAGCCAACACAACACACATGCACACTTCAGACCCAAGAATACACTAAAGCAGAAGCTTGTCCACCCCAAGGATAAAATATCCAGACATAAATTGAGCAATGCGATATATGCAGTACAATGCAGTGAGCCATGTGCAGACCTATACATTGGGGAAACAAAACAACCACTTCATAAACGCATGGCACAACATAGGAGAACAAACCCATCAGGACTAGATTCAGCAGTCCATCGGCATTTAAAAGACAGGCCACTCTTTTGAAGACAGCAAAGTCCACATTTTGGACAGAGAGGACCACTGGTTTGAAAGAGGCATCAAAGATGCCATTGATGTTAAAATTGAACAGTCCTCTTTCAACAGACACGACATCATCTATCTCCAATCTACAACACAGTCCTTTCAACAGTTCCAACAAGACTCCACACCCATTTACACCACTCAGGTGACCCTGACAACAGATAAAGCTCCAGGTGGTCTTAACAACTCCGTAAAAGAGTGCAAATGACCAGCTGTCTTTAAGGAGTATAAATTCTTCCATTCCCCACCATCGAGCCAGAGCTGACAAAGCTTCTTGGATGAGAAGCAAAACATCTTCAAAGAAAAAAAAAACCAGAAAGTCCAGTTGCCTCTTGAAAAAGCACCTTTGGGACAACCATGACCTAGATGACTGAGAATCTCCATAGACTTTGAGATCGGGACCAATGGCTGTACAAAGAAATGGTTCCCTCTAAACATGGGTACAATAATCTGATCAATCCTCTTCCAATGACTCAGTCAAGGTCTCCAAATTGCAGTCTGAAACTGAAAGATGCATTGTAAAAATGAAACAGCATGAGATTCCATCACTTTCTTAAGACTTGTCCTATATCTTTTAATAGCCTATCACAGTTTAGCCTCCAATATAATTCCTTACAATTCACTAGGAAATTAATATATGTATTATAAAGAACTATGGTTTTAAAAGCCAAACCTATCAAAATGGCTTGTTATGGGAAAATGTTGGCATATATGCTTTTCTCAAATGTCAAATCCTTTCTCCTGCTGAAACTCACCTTCCATGGTGGAGATGGTTCCTTCAGCACAAGGGAGACAGTCATAGCAGCTGATGGGCTTCCCTTCCAGAATCACTTTCACAAATCCAGAACAACAGCTTTCTACACACCTGGAAGGAGGCAGGGGCTAAACATAGACAACATCTAGAAGTGGAATCATGAATTTATGTCAAAAAAGGGGGACAAAAGAGCAAGGGATTAGAAATCTCCAGTTCCAATTTAAACCTTTCTATGTAAAAAATTTGGAGCTCATCAAATGTATTTGGCTGAATGTTGTTTCCTTCTTTCTCTCTTCTAATTCTTATCTCTACAATTTTTAGTTTAGAATCTAAATTTAAATATTAAATTATTCAAAAGAAGGTCAGATGGATCCTCTGGTTTGTGAAATGAATTATCTTGCCCCTGTGAATTAACTCTCTATCCCTTTGCACAAGTCTAATGTTTTGACTCTTTGATCTATCAGAATTACAGCTGGAAGGGACCTTGGAGGTCTTTTAGTCCAACTCAAGCAGGACATCTCATACCACTTCAGACAAGTGGTGGTTCAGTCTTTTCTTAAAAACCTCTAGTTATAAAGCACCCACAACCTCTGAAGGCAAGCTATTCTACTGGTTAATTGTCCTCACTGTTATGAATTTTCTCCTTAGTTCTAAATTGCTTCTCTCCTTGTTTAATTTCAATCTACTGTTTCTTGTCTTGCCTTCTGGTGCTTTGGAAAATAAGTTGATCCCTTCTTCTTTGGAACAGCCCCTCAAATACTGCAATACTGGATAGCCTGGATAGCTCAGCAGACTAATGCATTGTAATTTAACTCCAGCTGTCTGCAATTAGTAAGTTCGAATCTTGCCAGGCTCAAGGTTGACTCAGCCTTCCATCCTTTCTAAGGTAGGTAAATTGAGGACCCAGTTTGTGGGGGCAATAAGCTGACTTTGTAAAAATATACAAAAGTATGAAGGCTATTGCTTAACGCATTGTAAGCCACCCTGAGTCTCCGGAGAAGGGCGGCATATAAATCAAAAAAAATTTTTTAAAAAAATACTGCTATCATATCAGCCCTAGTCCTTCTTTTCTCTAGACTGGCCATATCCAATTCCTGCAACCGTTCTTCATATGTTTTTGTCTCCAGAACTTTAATCAGTTTAGTTGCTCTTCTCTGCACTTTTTTCCAAAGTCTCAACATCTTTTTTGTAACGTGGTGACCAAACCCGGATGCGGTATTCCAAGTGTGGCCTTACTAAGGTTTTATAAATTTGTAAAGGTTTTATCATTTTATTAGTCTTCCAAGGAAAGTAAAAAAAAAAAAGCCATGCAAAAATTTAAGTTCTTGTTTGAAACATAAGTCGGGATGTCCCAGAGGAGTGTGAAGATCAGAATGTTCCTTTTAACAGCATAATACTGTTAAAGATGTTCCTTTGAACAGGCAAAAAAAAGAGGTGAGATGGGCAAACACAAACCTAATAAACCCAGTGAACCCTCTCAAAGATCTTTTTTGCAGGATTTTGTTGCATTTCAGGCAGGGTGGATTTGATTTAAATCGAACTGATTTAAATCACTAGTAAAAAGGCTTGATTTAAATCAACTCGATTTAAATCATAATTTTTAAAGAGCAACTGTCATCTCTGCTACTCCTTTGACTCGCTGTTGACTCACCGATAGTCCCAGTGTTGCAGAATATACAGCCTCATGCTACATAACTGAGCTCCATTTTATGCTGAATAAACTAAATTATTTATGTATCTTAAATAGAAAACTATCTTACGATAGATTTTTACCCCAAAAGTTTTTTATTAAAATAAATTCGCTAAAAATCAAAAAAATCCGATTTAAATCAAAAAAATCTGATTTTTTTGATTTTTTTTTTTTAAAAATCATTGATTTTTATCCACCCTGATTTCAGGGGACACATTGTAGGTGTATATACAGAACTAGAGAAACAAAAACAAAAGAAAAATATCTATTTTCCTGATTGTGGCTTCATCGCTTGAGACTTTCAAGAAAAGATTGGAATGCCATTCGTCAGAAATGGTGTAGGGTCTCCTACTTAGGGGGGGTGGACTAGATGACCTCTAAGGTCCCTTCCAACTCTGGTAATCTGTTAAGGAAAAAAAAATCTTCCTCTCTTTCAGGCTGGTACTTTAAACAACCACAAGATACAATATATGTTAACCCAAAGCCCTCCTGGTCCTCGTGTTCTGCCCCGCCTGGCTATTTCTGACAGGATTTGGCTCCTTTTGAAGCCGCCTCCAAATCTCTGCCGACCCTTCAGGGAAACTGTTCTCGGAAGGAAACCAGTTCAAATCCTCCTTCAGAGACAGTTTTTCTCCATCTCCACAGACGGTTCCTGGGCAGGAAAGAGGACGATGGAGAAGCTGCCACCGCTGTTAACGCCGACGCTTTCCTGCTACTCCCATGCCCATCATCCTTTCCTCTCCCCGCCCCCACCCTCACCCGCCCTCAGACAGGCTCCGCTTTCCCGCCCTTTCAGGGAATCCTGGCACTTTGCACATAATCCACATAGGGGGCGCTCTCCGCTTCTGGAGGGAACTGAGCATGCGCTACTCTGTTCCACTAGCGGGGGGGGGTGGAGGACGACGACGAGCGCATGCGTACGAAGAGGCTGGAGGCGCGTCTACCCTTTCTTTCTTTCCTTTTCTCCCACTACCCCCCCCCACGCTGTGAGTGACAGGCGTGGGACTCCCAGAGGCTTCTGGGAAACCGTGGCGGAGGCGCGGATCCCCACGTGACTCCCGAGTTCCTTGGTGCAAAGGGGTCCCGCGCTGGAGGGTTGCCTGGAGAGGAGTCAAGTCCTCCTCCGGGGTAGGAGTCCGGGGTCCCATGTTCCCCTGCCGCCCTTTCCTATGGAGGAGCCAGGCGGCGGGGGGGGGGGAAAGAAGCAAAGGAGAGAAAGCAAAGAGAAAGCAAAGGCAGCGGGGAAAGAAAAAAGCCCCACCCCATTTCCTTTGGAGCCTATGCGTGGAGGGGAGGGAGGGCAGGCTGGATGTCCTCTTGTTGCCTCTGGGTGCAAGGATGTGCGAGGACTGGAACCTGGGGTGCTGCTTTCCCAGCCTCATTTTCCCCACCACCACCGCAAAAGGGGCTCTGCCCGCAGAGAAAAGAAGGGAAATAAATGTTGCAAGGGACCGCAGGGGCAGCATTCGCACTGTGTGCCCGAGGAGAGTGATGTTTCTCTGGGGGTTGCTGGCTGTTGGAAGGCAATCTGGCTCAGTTTCTGCCAAGTTGAGAGAAAGACGCTGGAAAACAACGTGGAGGCAGATTGGAAAAATGGGTTTATTGAGGACCAGAACCACGTACAAAAAAAGCTTGCAGTTCTGGGTCAGCTGAACAATTAGCTCAGGGGTCCCCAAACTTGGCAGCTTTAAGACTTGTGGACTTCAACTCCCAGAATTCTCCAGCCAGCTATGCCTGTGGACTTTCAACTCCCAGAATTCTCCAGCCAGCATAGCTGGCTGGAGAATTCTGGGAGTTGAAGTCCACAAGTCTTAAAGCTGCCATGTTTGAAGACCTCTGAATTAGCTAGATGAGCGCCAAGATACAGACCCTGAAATGCTGCTGTGGTGGGGAGGAGGGGTTGTGCAATGCCTGAAATGCCCTTAGCAAATTGTGCGATGTTGTGAGCTCTCTGCCTTCTGCTAAATGGGTTAAATCTTCTCATGATCTAAATCAGGGGTCTCCAAACTTGGCAACTTTAAGATTTAAGATATTATATTTCCCTAAAAGATTTAAGATCTTTTAGGGAAATATAATAATAATAACAATAATAATAACAACAACTTTATTGTCATTGTTTGTGTATACACAGTACACCCGTACAACGAAATTCACTTAACACCCAAAGACCAGGTCCAACACACATGACAATCCCCAAACACACCCGCACCCACCACAAATTCCCCACCCCTAAACCACCCAAACATCCACACAACAGACCAAGTTGTTCCTCCTTTTTTTAATATTTCCCAAAATGTTTCATTCTTCTGAAGTGGGGGGGCAGAGCTTCCAACAGAAGTATGTTTCTACATTTCTGCTTTAGGGGAAATATTCTATTCTGCCACTTTAATATTCCCAGAAATATTTCATTTTTCAGCCGGGGGGGGGCGGGGTTTCCCACACTGCTTCCCAGCCTCTCTCCACAACTGCAGACCACGAAGGGGCTCTGCCCGCAGGAAAGAAGGGAAGCGTTGCAGGGATAGAGATGCAAGTGTGGCTGAGATGCAGCATTCGCACTGTGTGCCCGATGAGGCCGGTATTTCTTAAAATGCTTTAAAGACCGGGAGTTGAAGTCCACACGTCTTAATTCAGTGTTGTTTAGTAGTTAAGTCCACGACCTTCTCATTCGTTGAATTTATTTTCTTTTCCATCAGAGATGCAGACACTGGAGTCATCTCGACAAACTTCCTAACAACAAAAAAGTTAACTTTTGGTTGAAGAGGCTTGGATAACCTTTGTGGCAGCTACCGGAATGCTCCTATGAATTGAAAGGTGTCCACAAGATTCCTCAGATCTATTTGGAATTTCCTTAAAGGACAGACAAAGGATGCAGAAACAGCCGTTAGCAAGTGAGGGAACTGGAAAAGGTGCCTCGGCTGTTCAGTCAGGCAGCTGTGGGAAGATCTGGGCAGAATAATATGGAGAACAAAACCATCATCCGTTCAGAGATTCAGCCCTGGAACTTTAGAAACATCCAATACCAGGAGGCTGAAGGTCCCCGAGGACTTTGCAGCCGACTGTACAACTTTTATAGTCAGTGGCTGAGGTTAGAAAAGCTCAGTAAAACCCAAATGTTGGACCTTGTTCTGGAGCAGCTGCTGGCCCTTCTTCCCCTGCCGATGAAGAGCTGGGTGCGGGAGTGTGGAGCAGAGACCACTTGCCAAGCGGTGGCCCTGGCGGAAGGCTTCCTTCTGAGTCAGGCAGAGGAGCAGAAGGGGCAAGTCGAATTGCAGGTGAGAGAGACCTTCATCTTGGAAGTCCAGAAGGGAATAAAGAATGCGTTTGAATTCTTCACCCTTTATACCCTGGTGCTCATAATGTGTGGATATGTTCCACTAGTTCTTGCAGGACATTGTTCCATTATCTATTCTAGAGTATACAGATAGTCCTTAACAATTCATTCATTGACTGTTCAAAGTCAACGGCACTGAAAAAAGTGACTTATGACCATTTTTCACATTTACGACCGTTGCAGCATCCCCATGGTCACATAATCAAATTTCAGATACTTGGGAACTGCTTCATATTAGATTAGATTAACAGAGTTGGAAGGGACCTTGTAGGTCACTTAGTCCAACCCACTGCCCTTAGTCCAATTCATTTCTGACAAATGGCAGTTCAATGTCTTCTTGAAAGCCTCCAGTGATGAAACTCCCACAACTTCCGAAGGCAACTTCTGTTCTATTGGTTGATTGTTCCCACTGTCAGAAAATTTCTCCTTATTTCTAGGTTGAATCCCTCATTGATCAGTTTCACTATTCCTTGTCTGGCCTTCAGATGCCTTGGAAAATAGCTTGACCCCTTCCTCTCTGTTGCAGGCCCACAAATATTAGAACACTGCTATCATGTCCCCCTGGTCCTTGTCTTCTCTAGACTTGGCATGCCCAGTTCCTGCAACTGTTCATCATATGATTTAACCTCCAGTCCCCTAATCATCTTGGTTGCTCTTCTCTGCACTTTTTCTAGAGACTCAACATCTTTCGTATAGTGTGGTGACCAAAACTGGATTCAGTATTCTAGGTGTGGTCTTACTAGGGCTTTATAGAGTAGTATTAGTACCTCACTTGATCTTGATTGTATCCCTCTGTTAATGCAATTTAGGATTATGTTGGCTTTTTTGGCTGCTGCCACACACTGCTGGCTCACATTTAATCCAAGATCCCTTGTACAGTTACTGCTATTAAGCCTGGTTTCACCCAGTCTACATATGTACTTTTGGTTTTTCTTGCCTAAGTGTAAGACTTTATTTTTCTCTACATTGAATTTAATTTTATTAGATAGGGCCCAGTGTTCAAGTCTGTCAAGGACCATCTGGATCTTGAGCCTATCATCTAGGGTGTTGTCTATTCCTGCCAGTTTAGTATCATCTGCAAATTTGGTAAATTCCCCTTGTATTCCCTTATCTAAGTTGTTCATGAAGATATTGACGAGTGCTGGCCCACAGATGGGACCTTGTATATGTAGACCTGTTAAGAACTACCCGTTGAGTATGGTTCGTCAGCCAGTTACGAATCCATCTGGTGGTGATGCTATTTATAACAGTTGTGATCTTCTGACAAGCAAAGTCAATGGGGAAGCCGTGTGACTAACTTAACAATTGCAATGATTCACTTTAACAAGCGTGGGTAGAAAGGTTGTAATATGGGGCAAAGCTCACTTAACAAATGTCTTAACATAAATGTTAGGCTCATTGATAGATATTGGGGCATTGAAGATGTTTTTAAGAGAACAAGAATCCACCTCATGTTATGTGATGTCTTATTTATTTTTTTTTCTCCTGCCTCCTATTTCAAGTCTTTCACTCTGCAGACCAGAGATCCTGTGAGAAGGAGGAATGTATCAAATCCCCCTCGGGAGCTGTTTTCCAGGAGGATCTATCAGGAATCCACAAGTGAGGACATCTCAGATGGTAATCAAAACTCCACCCATTCCCAAGAGAGAGCCCAGCTGTCTTACCTTCGCTATCTCTTCTCTTCTATAGAATTCCTCCCGCTATTTTATTAATTATCCATTTAAAAATTCTGTCTCCCTCACAGGGAAGAATAGAATGAATTTGACTCCTTTTTATGGTGGTGCTGAAAGACTAGTTGAAGCTCCAACTCAAGTAAGAGAGGGATAATTTAAAAAAAAATCACAATGTTAACGTTTGCTGAATAACTATAACAGTAGTGCTTAGACTTACATACTGCTTCACAGTGCTTTATAGCCTGCTCTAAGCGGTTTACAGAGTCGGCATATCGTTCCCAACAATTTGCGTCCTTATTTTACCAACCCTGGAAGGATGGAAGCTGAGTCAGCGTTGAGCCGGTGAGATTCGAAGTGCCAGATTGCTGGCAGTCAGCAGAAGTAGCCTGCAGTACTGCATTCTAACCACTGCTCCTCCATCGCACTTTTTAATAGAAAGATGATCCTGTTAGTAATTCTTTGACATTGAATTGTGGAAAACTATTCAGTAATAACTAAAAGACGCCTTGCGCACGGTCACTCATGCCCTTGTCACCTCCCGGCTGGACTATTGTAATGCTCTCTACATGGGGCTCCCCTTGAAGAGCACTCAGAGGCTCCAACTGGTCCAGAATGCGGCCGCGCGAGTGGTTATGGGCGCAACTCGTTGTGCCCGCGTGACATCCCTCCTGCGCGAGCTGCACTGGCTCCCAGTGGTCTTCCGGGTGCGATTCAAGGTGTTGGTTACCACCTTCAAAGCGCTCCATGGCATAGGACTCGGGTACCTTCGAGACCGTCTTCTGCCACCAATAGCCTCCCACCGACCAGTCCGTTCCCACAGAGAGGGTCTCCTCAGGGTGCCATCAGCCAAGTTATGTCGGCTGGCGACACCCAGGGGGAGGGCCTTCTCTGTGGGAGCCCCAGCCCTGTGGAATGAACTGCCCCCGGAAATACGTAAGATCTCCGACCTCCAGGTGTTTCATTGCGCATTGAAGACCCTGTTGTTCCGCCAGGCCAGGCTATCAACATAATAATTTTAATTGGGGTATTTTAAATTTTGGGGGTTTTAATCCGGCCAAATTTATTTAATTATTTTAATTTTTAATCATTGTTGTGTCTTGTGTTTTTAAATTGGCTGTACACCGCCCTGAATCCTTTGGGAGAAGGGCGGTATAGAAATAAAATTATTTATTTATTTATTTATTTTATTTATTTAATCACACTGGCACATTACCGTTTTCAAAAGGCCTTGTTTATAACCAGCGATAAGAAAAACAATGGCACCAGGTTAAAAGATAGAGCAGAATTTCTAATACTCCAATTTGTGCCTGAAGTTTGGGGCCAAATAATCCCGCTTTGGAAAGGATGAGGGATGCTCTTTCCAAACAGGTTTTCTCTTCTTCAGCCTTTGGGTTGGAGTACAAGGAGTGGATTCCTTGTAATCTGAGGAGCAGTAGAAACAGGGCTTGTGTTTCTTTGTCAATTGATGACACCCATGTGAATCCCTGAGTGCCATTCAAACAACTTTAATGAAGGTTTTGAGCATGGATTATTTGCTCTCGGGATACCACAAGCCTTTTTACTTCCAGCGATGGAGTGCCCACCATTTCTGAAGGCAAGCTATTCTACTGTTTATTTGTCCTTACTGTTATGAAGTTTCAGTACTTCCTAAATCAGTTCCGCCCAGTGAGTGGCATCGAGCTAGCCACGCCCACCTGGCCGCTGTGAATCACCATAGTCTTTTTTTTTTTTTTTAAAGTTTTATAGAAAATACAAACATTTTCACCCCCCCACCCTTCCCCCCTCAACCCCTCCCTCCCCTTTCCCACCCCCCCTTCCCCTCCTTCCCCCCCACCCCACTCCCTAGACTTCCCAGAACAAGCACAGGGTATAGTATTCACAAATCAAAAGCTAAAATATGCTAACAAATTATTACATTTCATATTCTCCCTAGATCCTTAACTCCTTATAATTCAAAAAACAAACATAAATTACTTAAAGTTACTTCATTCATATGCTATATGAATCTTCTTATTCGGATACTTCTTCTGTATGTAATCGATCCATCTTCTCCATTCCGATATGTATCTTTCTTTTGAATGGTCTTTAAGATATGATGAAATTTTCGCCATTTCTGCCAAAGGCACAACTTTTAATGTCCATTCCTCAATGGTGGGTGGATCTTCCTTCTTCCAGTACTGTGCCACCAGTAACCTGGCAGCCGTTATTAAGTTCAAAACCAACTTAGTCTCTATTACAGTACAATCCGTGACTATTCCCAACAAAAAGAACTGTGGTGTAAATTTAATTTTTTTCTTTAAAATGTTTTGAATAATCCACCATATTTTTATCCAAAAAGCCTTAATTTTTTTACATGTCCACCATATATGAAAATATGTAGCATCTTTACACTCACATCGCCAACACTTAGGTTGTAAATTTGGATAAATACAGGCTAATTTTTTGGGGTCTAAATGCCATCTATAAAACATTTTATAAAAATTCTCCCTTAGATTTTGTGCTTGTGTAAATCTTACATTTCTGACCCATATCTTTTCCCATGTTTCCATCATTATTGGTTCACCATAATGATGGAGTCACCATAGTCTTACATGCAACTGGCCATTTGAGGGCAATGATAATGCTCATGCCGCCCTGACTGAAATTTTAGTTTGACACCCCTGACTTAAGTGGTAAAAAGAAAACCCCCCAACGCCCCCCCCCCCCCCCCCGGCATTTTCTTCTGCAAACACTGGGTGGATTGGAGTGACTGACAGATGGAGTTTCCAAGGCCTATACCAGCGGTGAGATTAAAAAAAAATTACTACTGGTTCTGTGGGCGTGGCTTGGTGGGCGTGGTAGGGAAAGGATACTGTAAAATCTCCATTCCCTCCCCACTCCAGGGGAAGGTTACTGCAAAATCCTCATTTCATCCCGATCAACTGGGTCTCGGGAGGCAGAGAATAGATGGGGGCAGGGCCAGTCAGAGGTGGTATTTACCGGTTCTCCGAACTACTCAAAATTTCCGCTACCGGTTCTCTAGAACTGGTCAGAACCTGCTGAATACCACCTCTGGCCCATACCACTTGACTCTCCAGATGCTGAACGTCTTAGTGATGGATGGGGATAGATAGACAGACAGACAAACCCAGACGAAAAGTAGGATTCCTTTCACTGAATGGCCTGAAATGTATATCTTTGCTTGGAATCCCTTAAAATCTTGAAAATCCTCCTGATTTTTGTTGTGTTTTCTTCTCATTCAGGAAGGTCTTGTGTCCTTTAAGGAGGTGGCTGTGTATTTCTCCGAAGAGGAGTGGTCTCGGCTGACAGTTGACCAAAAAGCACTGTATTGGGAAGTCATGCAGGAAAATCATAGGAATGTGGCCTCTTTGGGTAAGAATATGCCAGAAATTTTGTACTAAATACTATAAATTTGGAAGAGGAAATAAAGAAGATAGAGTAATGTGATTAATGAATAAGAAAAAAGTATGATGAAATTAAAAAAAGAGAAAAGACAAAGTAATAAGTTATATCCCCTACCCCTTTCTAAGGTTACACCATTATTTCCTCCTTTACATAATTTATCCTTTCTAATCTTCAAATACAAGTTTGAACACAAGTTCATTTTTTCTTTTCTTCAGCCTAAAGTCCAACAGGGGCTTCCAATCACTAAATAAATATTGATAGTATCCGCTGCCTAATTGGAGTCAATTTAGTCATCATTGAGAATTCTTTCATTTTCCGCAACCACTCTAGTTATTGTAGAGTCCTTCCACTTTTTTTGTGTATAATAGTCTCACCACGGTTATCATACTCAGAAACAATTTTCTATGACTGTTGATTAGTGCCAACATAAAGTGTTCTGATTTCAGTTGGATATTAATATTTAAAGTTCCTTGTATCTCAGAATGCCTTTGAATTCAAACTTTTCTAGTTTTTTTACAAGGCCACCAAAGCATGACAAAATGACCCTTGATCTTGCCTGCATTTCCAGCATACGTTTGAGGTCCATTTATACACTTTTTAATATTTTTCTGTATGTTTGGAGGTTTTCACAATTACATATTCATCTTTTCTACAAAATGATATTCAAATTCTGCTTTATGTTGTTGAATACTATAGTTCCCTTTATCTGCCTAGAATGTTTCTGATAATATGAAAACTACGGTATATTGTTTTTCCATTCTTGACTTAATTTGGTATTCCTGCAGCTCAAGCTCTAATTGCTCTCGACGTTATCCATTGCTTTTTTTTCTGCTGAAAGCCATTAGGATGTATTGGGGCACAGCCTGAGTTTATATCTGTTTCATATTCTCAATGTGGCATTTCTAACATGATGGTTTTAAAATCTAGATTGATCCTATATTTTGTTGTTGTTAGTCGCAAAATTGTGTCTGACTCATTGCGACCCCATGGACAACGTTCCTCCAGGCCTTCCTGTCCTCTACCATCCTCTGGAGTCCATTTAAGCTGACGCCTACTGCTTCAGTGACTCCATCCAGCCACCTCATTCTCTGTCGTCCCCTTCTTCTTTTGCCCTCAATCTTTCCCAGCATTAGGCTCTTCTCCAGTGAGTCCTTCCTTCTCATTAGGTGGCCAAAGTATTTGAGTTTCATCTTCAAGACCTGGCCTTCTAAAGAGCAGTCAGGGTTGATCTCCTCTAGGACTGACCGGTTTGATCGTCTTGCAGTCCAAGGGACTCGCAGGAGTCTTCTCCAGCACCACAGTTCAAAGGCTTCAATTCTTTGGCGCTCAGCCTTCCTTATGGTCCAACTTTCACAGCCATACATTGCAACTGGGAAAACCATAGCCTTAACTATACACACTTTTGTTGGCAGGGTGAGGTCTCTGCTTTTTAGTATGCTGTCTAGATTTGCCATAGCTTTCTTCCCCAGGAGCAAGCATCTTTTCATTTCTTGGCTGTAGTCCCCGTCTGCGGTGATCTTGGAGCCTAGGAAAATAAAATCTGTCACTACCTCCATTTCTTCCCTATCTATTTGCCAGGAATTGAGAGAGCCAGATGCCATGATCTTAGTTTTCTTAATGTTGAGTTTCAAGCCAACTTTTGCACTCACCTCCTTCACCCGCCTCAAGAGGCTCTTTAGTTCCTCTTCACTTTCTGCCATTAGTGTGGTATCATCTGCATATCTGAGGTTGTTGATATTTCTCCCGGCAATCTTAATTCCAACTTGTGATTCATCTAGCCCCACCTTTCTCATGATATGCTCTGCATATAAGTTAAATAGGCAGGGTGACAGTATACAGCCTTACCGAACTCTTTTCCCAATATTGAACCAATCAGTGGTTCCGTGTCCAGTTCTCACTGTTGCTTCTTGACCTGCATATAGGTTTCTCAAGAGACAAATAAGATGATCTGGTACGCCTATCTCTTTAAGAACTTGCCACAATTTGTTGTGATCCACACAATCAAAGGCTTTAGCATAATCAATGAGGCAGAACTAGATGTTTTTCTGGAACTCCTTAGCTTTCTCCATGATCCAGCATATGTTGGCAATTTGATCTCCAGTTCCTCTGCTTCTTCGAAATCTTGCCTGTACTTCTGGTAGTTCCACATACTGCTGGAGCCTAGCTTGTAGGATTTTGAGCATGTGAACTTTACTAGCATGTGAAATGAGTGCAATGGTGTGGTAGTTTGAACATTCTTTGGCATTGCCTTTCTTTGGAATTGGAATGTAAACTGACCTTTTCCAATCCTGTGGCCACTGTTGAGTTTTCCAAATTTGATGGCAAATTGAGTGTAGCACTTTTACTGCATCATCTTTTAAGATTTTGAATAGCTTAACTGGAATACTGTCACCTCCACTAGCTTTGTTGTTGCTAAGACTTCCTAAGGCCTATTTGACTTCACATTCCAGGATGTCTGGCTCTAGGTCAATGATCACCTCATCGTGGTTATTAGGGACATTAAGCTTGTTCTTGTATAATTCTTCTGTGTAATTTTGCCACCTCTTCTTAATCTCTTATGGCTCTGTTAGGTCCCTGCCATTTTGGTCCTTTATCGTGCCCATCTTTGAATGAAACATTCCCTTCATATCCAATTTTCTTGAAGAGATCTCTGGTCCCCCATATTCTACTGTTTTCTTTTATTTGTTTGCACTGTTCATTTAAGAAGGCATTCTCATCTCTTCTAGCTACTCTCTGGAATTCTGCATTCAGTTGGGTGTATCTTTCTCTTTCTCCCTTGCCTTTCGCTTCCCTTCTTTCCTCAGCTATTTGCAAAGCTTCCTCAGACAGCCATTTTGCTTTCTTGCCTTTCTTTTTCTTTGGGATGATTTTAGTTGCTACCTCTTGTACAATGTTGCGAACCTCCGTCCATAGTTCTTCAGGCACTCTTGTCTATCAGCTCTAATTCCTTAAATCTATTTGTCACCTCTACTGTATATTCATCAGGGATATGATTTAATTCATACCTGAGTGGCCTAGTGCTTTTCCCTGCTTCCTCAATTTAAGCCTAAATTTTGCAACGAGAAGCTCATGATCTGAGCCACAGTCAGCTCCTGGTCTTGTTTTTACTGGCTGTATAGAGCTTCTCCGTTTTTGGCTGCAGAGCACATAGTCAATCTGATTTCTATGTTGACCGTCTGGTGATGTCCATGTGTAGAGTCGTCTCTTGGGTTGTTGGAAAAGAGTCATTCTGCCTTTCTAATTCTAAAGTTCTCTTATTTCTGAGCAACTCCTACTTCTTATCCAAAGGCACAGCAGAATACAAAGTTCAGTTTCACATTGGGAAACCAAACCTTCCCAATTCTTCGGAACTTCGAGAATTTGATATTTAATCCATGGTTTTTCCCTTGCCATACAAACCTAGATGTACCTTCCAAAATTTTAATCAAGAAAATCCAGATCAAATTCGTGAAGGACTTCTCTGTGTCTAAGAAGTTTGAAGCAGTTAGTTATTCATTATATCCAAACTTCCTGTGCTTTGCTCTTTTCCCCTAAAGTTATTTTCATTTTCATTTTCCTGTGAAGGTAATAACAGAGAAGAAGATGAAGATTCCAGGGAATTGTTCCAAAGGATCAGTTGTGGATACAATACAGAGAACCCTATAATTCTAATGGAAATAGAAAGCCATGAGAGAAATCAGTCAAATAATTACAATCAGGAAAATTCATCTTCTGTTCATGCAGCAACGAAAGCCTCTATGGCCCAGGAAGGAAAAATAAAAAACAAAAAATGTACAGAACTGTTCATAAACAAATTAGATGTAGATAAACGTTATCAAACAGAAATGGAAGAAGAAGATTATATATGTAGAGATGTAGATAAACATTATCAAACAGAAATGGAAGAAGAAGATTATATATGTAGAGACAACGGAAAAACTCATAAATGGACCCAGTCTCTTCCTCATAAAAATGGGTCCCATACATCTCAAAAAAGAACCCAAACAGGGGAGAAGCCACATAAATGCATGGAGTGTGGAAAGAACTTTAGTAGGAACAGTTCCCTTACATTTCATAAGAAGATCCACACAGGGGAAAGGCCTTATAAATGCATGGAATGTGGAAAGTCCTTTGTTCGCAGAGCTAATCTTAGTTCACATACAAGAATCCACACAGGGGAGAAGCCCTACAAATGCACGGAGTGTGGAAAGAGCTTCTGTGAAAATTCTTCCCTTACTGTTCATAAACGAATCCATACAGGAGAGAGGCCCTATAAATGTATGGAATGTGGGAAAAGCTTCCCTAGGAGCAGTGACCTTGTTTTCCATAAAAAGATCCACACAGGGGAGAAGCCACACAAATGCCTGGAGTGTGGAAAGAGCTTTATTAAGAACTGTAAACTTATTTACCATAGTCGAATCCATACAGGGGAGAAACCCTACAAATGCACGGAGTGTGGAAAATGCTATACTGGCTGTAGTGGGCTTATTGCCCATAAAAAGACACACACACGGGAGAAGCCTTATAAATGCATTGAATGTGGAAATCGCTTCCCTAACAACAGTGAACTTATTTTCCATAAAAAGATCCACACAGAGAAGCCACATAAATGTCTGGAGTGTGGAAAGAGCTTTATTAAGAACTGTCAGCTTATTGACCATAGTAGAATCCATACAGGAGAAAAGCCATATAAATGCATGGAATGTGGAAAGAGTTTTTCTAGAAACCGTTACCTTAACATCCATAAAAAGATCCACACAGGAGAGAAGCCATATAACTGCACGGAGTGTGGAAAATGTTTTACTAACTGTAGTAATCTTATTGCCCATAAAAAGAGACACACACAGGAGAAGATTTATTAATGCATTGAATGTAGAAAGAGTTTCTCTACAAACAGTGATCTTAACACTCATAAAAGGATCCACACGGGAGAAGCCTTATAAATTTATGATGTGTGGGAAAGGTTTTATTATGAACCATTCTCTTAACTCCCATATAAGGACCCACAGTGTAGATGCCAAAGAATTCTGTGAAATCTGGAAAAAGCTTCAAAAGGACCAATGGCCGAAAGTTCTCTATACAGATACATTTCATTGAGGATTTGTTTAAATGTTAGATTTGGTGGTTGAAATATATGCATTTCCTAATTTCATTTATTGAATTAGGAAAGGGTTTTGGGGTGGTTTTTTTTTTGAGTCTGTTCTTGACAACTGGAAGCCCTAGAGAGATGGATTTACCAATGGAAATCAAAGGCTAGGCATGTGTTTTAAGTATCAACTGGATTTTTTTAGTGACTGTCATTTTAAGACCACTAATGCCATTTCACATTAATAAGAACATTTTTTCTTCATATTTGTCCCATTTTTGTTTGGATCATAATAAAGAAAGCCCAAATTCTCAATAAAATTTCAATTTTTGTGAGCAAGAATAATATAATTCAAGGCATACTATGGGAAGGGCATGAATCAGGAAGGACTTGCAGAAGTTATACCTAAATATGAACTACCAAAGTGCAAGTGATGCTAATGAAGATACCTTATGAATAGAACAGTTTAAGTAGCAACTCTTGCAGTTTAGCTGTCAGTAGATGTTATACAATGAATATATGAAGGACTTCTGGCGATGACATCATGGTGGAGCGGAGCAAGTGAATGGGGCTCCGTTCCCGTTGCCTAAATTTTTCTGTCTGGAAGCCCTAAAACGGGCACAGTTAATCCCGGAGGGATCAACAGGACAGAGGGGAAACTCAGAGGACATCGGGCAGGATTTCCGCCCCAAAGACAGCAGCAACTAAGAGATTGGAGCAGTTGATTGTATCTAATAACCAGTGACAGTGCAGGGAGGAAAAGACAGATTTTAAAAAAAAGAGAAACTCCAGATTTATACTTAAATGGACATTGGGCATGATATAGGATATGCTTTGTGATGGATTGGATGTGTGACTATTCTGGATTGGTGATTATAAAAACCCTACAACTTTATAAACTTTACGAACTCTAAAAATGGGAAAAATCTGTAAACTACAAGGAGAACAATAGCGCCATCTGGGGGTTAGAGGAACTACAGAACTAACCCAAATGGTTTCATTTAGGAATTGATGCAATACTGAACTGACTTGCTGGATGGAATATAAAAAGAGAAAAGAAGGAGAAAACTCTGTCGAAGAAATTTGGAAAATATAAAGATATAGAAGATAATAGACATCAGGTGATAAAGACTGAATGAATTAACAATGAGGACCTGTTTGTATAAATACTATATATATATAGTATATATATATATATATATATACTATATATATATAAATACTATATATATATAGGGCGGGGAAGTATACAGAATATTGAACTTTGATTATAGTAATATATATATAAAGAGGTCAATCTAAGTTGTCACAAGTAAGGATTGAAAGATAGTTTAAAATAGAGTAAATATTGTATGAACTATAAGAAATAGAATTAACTGAAATAATTGAAAAAATTGTATAAAATATATGTGATTAAGTTAGAGTTTGTTGTCTATTAAACATATATTTACATAGCCTTTATATATATTTATATATTCAGATAAACCTGTCTTAAAGTTTTAAAATATAAGAATATTATAACTATATTAATTCATGTACCAGACTTATATATTTACATAGCTGCTATATATATATTTACATAAACCTGCTTTAAAGTATAAAGAGCTTATAACTATCAATTTACATAAATATATATTTAAGGCATATTGAAGGTATGTACTATTGTTTAACAATTATAATTAGAATTGGAAAAAGAGAGAAAATATAATAGTGAAAGAGTGAGAGGGGGCCTAAAGAGGAAACTTAAATACCCAAACTATTGTATGCTGTTTTGGAAAAACATTCTTCGAGTGGTGAAGATCACGTGCACAACAACCATCACCAAGATAAGTAAGAAAGCATCTTCAAACCCTGCATCCACAACTTCATCGCCCTCAAATCAGCGTTCAATAGAGAGTATGCTTGGACCGGAGAAATCAAGTTCAACATTGAACATACAGAGCATGCAAGCAACATTACTTATGATACAAGAAGCAATGACAAGGACACAGGAATCGATAGCAAAGAACCATGAAGAGATAAAAAGAAATCATGAAGAGATTAAGAACGACATGGGAGAAATGAAAGAAGACATCAGAAGAATGGGTGATAAAATAGGAAACATCCAACAAGCCATCACTAAGAATGAACAGAGAATACAAACGGTAGAGAAAAAAAATGGAACAAACACGGAAAAAATTGAAACAATGGAACAGAAATGTATGCTCGCCAGTAGGGACTTAGAGGAAGCGATCGTTTTCTTAGAGATGGAAAAAGTATCCTATTTCTTAAGGTTCCAAAACATAGTGGAAGAAAAGGAAGAAGACCTAGGTAAGACCATGGCAGAAATACTCGCAGACACATTACAGAAAAACAAACAGGACATATGGAGAGATATAGATGAAGTGTACAGAGTACACACAAACTACGCAAGGAGACATAGATTACCAAAAGAAGTATATGTGAGGTTTACAAAAAAGGCAATAAGGTACGAAATATACAAAAAAACGAGGGAGGAACCTATAATATATAAAGGAAAAGAAATACAAATCCTGAGACAAATACCTAGGAGAGTGAAAAACCAGAGAAGACGCTACAATTCCTAACCACACAACTAATTAGATATAATGTGATGTTCAGATGGCTTGTTCCGGAAGGCATTTTGATTACCTGGCAGGAGAAGACATTCAAAATAGACACCCTTGATAAAGCCCACGAGTTCTTCGAGCACCATTTCACAGCCGAGGAAGAACAAGAGAGTAGAGAAGAGGTAGAGAGCAGGAGTCAGGAGGAACATCAAGTAGAGGACAATGAGGAAGAACGAGAAGAAAGAAGAAAACAGGAAAAAGAACAAGTAGAATGAGAGGGTGCAAGAGAAAAAATACAGAGACAAGAAATACAAGAAAATTAAGAGCGGCATATAAGTAAAGAAATGGAGGAGGAAATTAAGATATTTTCAATAAACATAAATGGACTAAACTCACCTGTAAAAAGAATACAAACTCTCACAAAACTACAAATGTATAAATATGACACAAAATGTATGTTTATAAATTAGTATATTAATATGTTAATATGTATAAAGGATAATGGAACCACACGTATAGATATATAGATGCATGGGGGGAAAATGGATATACAGCAGATATATATTGATGCGGAAATGTTGCAAAGAGGAAAATGGTTTAAAAAATTTAAAAACTGTTTAATTAAAAAATATTAAAAAGTTATATAATGAATTGCAAGATGTTGAAACAGGAAATGTCTTGGTATATTGTGCTAAATTACAGGAATGTTCAAAATGGAAATATCTGGTGACTGGATAATACCAGATACTCTAATTTATGCTTAATGCTACAAAAAACCTCACTGGATTTACAATCTCCAACTCGGTGTATTCAGTATGGACAAAGGGCTCACCTGAGAATGTATCCCAGTATTGAGCTGGAAAATTACTGCTCTAGGAGAGATGTAATCAGGCAGACATTTAATAGGTGTTGTTTCCCCAAGAAGCATAAAGAAATGCATCTCTTCAAGACAAAATGTTTTAAATCTTTCTTCCTCTATAGCAGAAATGAGAATGGGAACTTAGTCAGGAGTGTGAGGAGACGAGAAAATAATCCACTCTTCAATTCATATGAAAAATGAATTGCCTTCCTATGGTGATATGAGGGCTAAGGAAAAGTCTACATTTAATGTGAATAAAAATGTATATCAATGGTTATGTATACAATACCTGCAGTCTCTCCTTCACTGGACAGTTTGTGGTACTGAACGGGAAAGCTGGACAAACTGTCAGAAAACAATGAGACCTCACTGTCTGAAAATCAAGGGTTTGCGGGCTTCATGCAGCCAGCCATGGCACAGAATTCCTCAAAACAGTTCCAGTAATAGACGGTTATGCATGGGGAAGGTTGAGAAATGCCTATGGAGATTCTCGTATCTATGGTTCTATAATACAACAGCTGTAGCCCTTTCTTCACTGGAAAGTTTGTTGTACAGAAGGGGAAAGCTGGCAATGAGGGAAAAATGCAATTTGTGGCGCTCCAAGAGTGGCTAAGTGAAAGCTGAGAGAACTGCCAGATAAGAATGAGACCTCCCTGTCTGAAAATCCAGGGAAGAGTCCTTCATGCAGCCAGCCAGGGCACCAAATTCCTCAAAGCAGCTCCAGTAATTGAGGATTATGATTGGGGAAGGGAGGGGAAAGCCCCCTGACAAATGCCTGTGGAGATTCTCATACATCCAGGTCATGGTTCTCCCAAAACTACTTTTCCAAAAGGCAACTGGATTTTCTTTGTGTTTTCTTGAAAACATTCCGCTTCTTATCTGAATTCTCATCTGAATTCAGCTGCTTCTTCAGAACCGAAGATGCTCCTTGGCTAAGAAGTGAAACATCTTCAAGAAAATAGAAAATCCAGTTGACTTTTGAAAAAGTACCTCTGGCATTCTCTTCTTTAAAAAAGTTCAATCAGACCTCCTAACTTCGCAAGATTTTTTTTCCCCAAGAAGTTGGAAGGTGTGATTGTATTTTTTAAAAAACACATGTGGTCGTCTTTTATTGCCCTGCATGCCGGAGAACACAGCTGGAAAGCAGGTTAGTGAGAGAATTAGGGTTGCTCTGGGGTGGGATGGGGTGGGAGTGAGGATTTTGCATTATGATTGCTCTGGGATGGGGTAGGAATGAGGATTTTGTATTATGGTTGCTCTGGGGTGGGCTGGGAGTGAGGACCTAAATCACCTTGGAGGGGTGGTGATGACCTATTGTATTACTGATTGTTGGGTTACTGATTGGTTGTTTTTGTTAAATAATAATTATCTAAAATAGTTGATTATTCCAAACTATCAAAATGACAAATAATATAAATTCAAATAAAACGGAGGAAAACCCCATCATCAGTACCATCATAATCAGCGGTGTCATTAGCAGCATCAAGCCCAGCAAGTCAGTGCTCCATAGACACCATGTTGCAGAAAGAAAAATTAAACTTTCAGTCAGAGATGAAAAATATGATTCAAGCATTACAGGAATCATTACAAGGAGCTATGGCTAAGAATCATGAAGACATGGCAGATAGGATGCAAAAGATGGAACAAAAAATGGAAGATAAAATAGACAATATCGAACAAATAATTATTAAAAATGAACAACGGATCCAGAAAGTGGAAGAAGAGACAGAGCAAACAGATAAGAAAATAGAAGAGATGGAGAATAGATTAACTAAGGTAGATCATGATCTTGAATGATCCATAATTATGTTGGAGATGAATAAGGTAGAATATTTTCTAAGATTCCAGAAAGTTGAGGAAAAAGGGGAAGATCTTGCGGGAAAAAGAGCAGAATTACATAATTAAGGAAATAAACTCAAATCTTCTCTTTCTCTCTCTCTCTCTCTCTCCCTTCCTCCCTCCCTCCCTCTTGTCATCCATTTGATTTAGAGATTGGACAACCACTTGTATAGATTGATATAGTATCTCCTGCTTGAGTAGGGGGTTGAACTAGAACACCTCCAAGGTCCCTTCCAGTTTCTATTATCCTCATTTGTATTGTTGAAGCTGCAGTCTTAGTTGTGAAACTGTTGGGAGAGTTCTCAAGATTGGTCATTCTCTTAATGAAGAAATTGTCAGGTTTATTTTTATTTTATTTATAAAAGTTACATTGCCATCCACATAACATTTGTAACTCTGGGTGGCTTATAGTTAAAACATAAACCGCGATGGTGCAGTGGTTAGAGTGCAGTACTGCAGATGACTTCTGCCGATCACTGGCCACCAGCAGTTTGGCAGATCGATTCACACCAGGCTGAAGGTTGACTCAGCCTTCCATCCTTTTGAGGTTGGTAAAATAAGGACTCGGATTGTTGGAGACAATATGCTGACTCTGTAAACTGCTTAGAGAGGACTAAAGCACTGTGAAGCGGTATATACCATGTTTTTCTGAGTATAAGGCGCACCTTTTACTGCATTATTTTGATATCACATGTGCTTTTGTATTCAGATCTGGTCTTAGGTAAATAATATAGCACTTAGGGAAAAATATAAAGCTCACCAAGCCAGCATTGGAGGCCAAGATGGAAAAGACCTGCACGGCCACCATGTATTTTCCCTTGGTGCTTAGGTAGGTGGGCACGAAGGACACCCAAACACTGCAGAAGATCAGCATGCTAAAGGTGATCAGCTTGGCTTCGTTGAAGGCCCCAGGGAGATTCCTGGCCAGGAAAGCCACAGTGAAGCAGATGGCAGCCAGGAAGCCCATGTAAC